TTCATTGTCTTTGACTATAGACAATTTAATTATACTGTGCCTCAGTGTAACCCTATTTAAGTTTAACTTTTTAGGACCTTCTGGGCTTCATGGATCTGGATGTCCATATCTTTTCTTTTCCCCAGATTCAGGAACTTTTCAGCCATGCTACTTCACACATATATAACTTTTTGTCACTTTTTCTTTCTCTTCTCTTTCTGGCATTTTCATACTGTGCATATTGTTTTTTTTTTTTATTCTCTACTATAATTTATGTAGGCTTTCTTCACTCTTTTTCATTCTTTTTTTCTTTTTCCTTCTCTGATTGGTAATTTTCAAAGTCTTATCCTTCAAGTGAGTGATTTTTTTCTTTTCTTTTTTTTTTTTTTTTGCATGTTCAGATTCTTTTAAAACTCTCTATTGAGTTAGTTAGTTTGGTTATTGTATTTTTCAACTCTAAAATTTCCATTTAACTGTGGTTTTTTTTGATGGTAGCTATTTCCTTATCCAACTTCTCATTTTGCTCATGCATTTTTTTCTAATTTTATTTAGTTGTGTGTCTGTGCTTTCTTGTAATTCACTAAACTTCTTTAGATGATTGTTATGAAATCTTTATTTAACAGTTCATAGATCTCCATTATTTAGGGTCAGGTATTGGAGCTTTATTAATTTCCTTTGGTGATGTGGTGATGTTATATTTACCTGTTTTTTGTGTGTGTGTTTGATCTTTGTGTCCTTATTAATGCTATTTGTTTATTTTAATAATTAAGCCCCTCTCCTAAACTTACAAATTTTCTTTGGTAGAGACAGCTCTTCAACAGTCAACTCAGTTTGGGTTTCTGGGTTCGTCTTCTGGTAATGTCCTTGGGCAGGTGGGGCCTGCTATTATGGTCTTTTTGGGGGCAAATTCTGAAGGGAGTGTCTGGGGTGAAATATTTTTATAGTATTTTTATAGTATTATGACTGAAATATTTTTATAGTATCATGGGCTTGGTTTCCTACCCAACTGAAGCTGTAGGATTGGGTTCCATGCTTGCTTGGATTCTCTGGTGAGGTTTACTGGATGGTCAGGACTGGGTTCAATATTTGATAGTGGGTAGAGCTATGAATTGACTTCCCTGGCCTGGCAGGACAGTAGAATGGGACTCTGGGCCTGTATAAATTGTTTGGGGACCTGAATCAAGCCAGAGTGTGCATTGAATCCCCTGGTCAGGTGAGGTAACTAGTTTTGCTCTGCAGGTAGGGGAAGTCACAGGCTCTGCTCTCTGTTCAAGTGCCACTGTATATTGGGCTGTTGAATGAGCTATGCAGATTTCCCCAAGCTCTGGTTAGTTTCCTTGGTTGGACAGACTGAGAGTTGTATTAGAGATAAGTGGGGTTACAAATTAGATTCTCTGCCCAGGAGCAGTGGGAAAAGCAGCTCTGAAGCCATAAAGCTTTTTTTGTTGTTGTTGTTCTCTTAACTCAAGACAACCCCCACCCCAAGTTCCCTGACTTAACACAGCATGGCCACTAAGTTTGTTCTGCAAACTATTGGCTCTGACTGTCCACCTCTCAGCTGGAGTGCCACGGGTCCACACAGCTTCCGGGAATTGCCAGGCCTTCAATTTGGATGGAGCTGGAAGACAACCTCTACAGTATATCTCAGCTCCCTTTACTAGGCAGTAGGGGGAAGGGCTGCTCTATTTACTCTCAATTTCCCAAACGGGTTCTCTGGTTGAGAGGAATGGGAGCTAACCTCAGCCTTGTCTGTGAATTAATCCCCTTGTCTCTGTGTAACGCTGGAACACTTTATACTGGCTTTGCTCTGGGAGTGATCAGCTTTGTCTGCCAGACTCTCAGCTTGAGTAACTTAAGTCTATTAATCTTCCAGGAGGTGTCATCAGAAGATATTCTTTGCTCCCTTGCTTGGGCAGAAAGAGAAGGTACTACTGCAAGGTAGACTTAATTTCTCAGATAGGTTTTCTGGTTAAGAAGGGCTGGAAGCTACTTTCTCTTAATTTAATGACCTTGTTTACTTGAGAAATACCCATTAGAGTGATGACATTGTTTCCTCAGCTGTTCTTCTCTTCTTCTCCTCCTGTCACTGCCAGTGCCTTACTAGCTAATTTCTCTTCTCGCTCCCCTGAATGGTTTTGCACCTTAAGGTTCAATCTTCAGTCATCCTTTTTTCTCACTACATGCACTTGCTTTCAGTGACTTTATGCATATCTTTGATTTCCACTATTAGTCAATGATTTCTAAAAATATACTTTTTGAGCCTTAATATCTCCCTTAAAATCCAGACTCATGTCTGTTTTCTGAATATTTTAAGACATTTCAAAAACCACACTGTTAGAACTAAACTCATCATCCTTTACTAAAATCCCTCCTTCTTTCTACTTCCAGATAGTTTAGTAGTCCATAATTTATTGGTTTTTACCTGAAATTCCTCTCTTTCATCATCTCAATTCTAAAGTGCTTCTAATTCCATTTCTAAGGCTAGGTAATTCCATTTAATAAATAGCCCTTTACCCCATTTAATAATTTTCTTTGGAATCCAGATTCTCTTCTCTCATTGTCTGTTTCTATTTTGACCTAGATTCTCTTTATTATTTTCTTTTCCTAGAATATTAAAATAATCTCCAAACAAGCTTGTTATCTTATTAAGTTTCCACCTTCTAGTACATTCTCTACTTTGACATCCAGTAAACTTTCTAAAAATCAAATATAATCATGTCACTCTCTTACAATAGGTATATCTCATGCAGCTTCTTTTTGCTCTGAGAATTAAGTTTAGTAATCTAGTTGACTTTTTAAAATATAATTGTGGGGAAAAATAATAAAATGAAATATATTTGTGGTATGTAGAAAATAAATCTATTCTTGTGCATGATCTCCCAACCAAAAAATTTCCAAATAGACAAAGAAAAGGAACTATTGTACTTAACCATAACTGTAGGTAAATGCTGTATTTACCACCAAGAAAATGCAGTGGTTTTCTAGAGCTTTTCTAGTAACATAACTGATTCTTTCTGAGGAATGTCCCTTGTTAATAGGTATCATATATGAAATTTTTCCTCTGATGCAACAAAGGTAGAATAAAAATGATTAAAATCATAACAGGTTGTCATATGATCCATGTCTTATGTATTTGGCTTCATTCTCTGTGAAATTGAATTTATTTTTCAGTTTTGAATGAGTGAGATAAACCTGTAAGGAGACCATGTTAGTGTTTGCAGGCATCTTCAGTCCTCTCCATCCACCCAAAAGTACACACTCACTCATACAGAGAGTTTACATTTATTTTATGAATTATTCATCATAGTGTGCTGAGCCATTGTTTTGCTAGGATTTACCCATATTGCCTTATTTAGGTTTCCTTTTCAATTTTTAAGATAACTGATCAAGATTAGGGATTGAGTTTTTGGTGAAGAAGTATAAGGAAGTTAACAAAGTCCTTGTATCCAAGTCCCACATGCATGGCAGTCTTCCACAAATATTATCCCACTAATGCTAATGAATTTGTCATAGAATATGGTTCCATGAATATGTGTCTGTCCTTATCAGAAGCAACTTCTAAATTTAAATAGAAATTAAAAAATAGAAAAAATAGAATTAAAAAAATAGAAAAAAAAATTGAAATCATTATCTTAATTTAAATTATAAATTTTCAGGGGTGCCTGGGTGGCTCAGTGGGTTAAAGCCTCTGCCTTCGGCTCAGGTCATGATCCCAGAGTCCTGGGATCCAGCCCCGAATCGGGCTCTCTGCTCAGCAGGGAGCCTGCTTCCCCCTTTCTCTCTGCCTGCCTCTCTGCCTACTTGTGATCTTTGTCTATCAAACGAATAAATAAAATCTTAAAAAATATATATATATGTGGATAGATAGATAGATAGATAGATAAATTTTCAAATTGATGGATTTGGTCTAATTGATAGCACAATGGCCCTTTACCCAGGCTTTTAATTCTTGTTGTATCCTAAAAAACCGATGTGTATTTATCTGCAACTTTATTATAATATTTTCTAAAGATTCAAGATGCTTTCTGGATTTAATTTTTGCCAGATGATCTTTAAAAACCAGAGCAGAATTGCAATGAAGATGCTTTGTTAAAACAACAAAGACTAAGGCTGTGGATTAGTGAAGTTGGAGACCAAATCATTTTTCTAATTCATTCTTGGTCATATATATCAGGCTAAATATCAAAATGAATTTGAAACTATTTGAGGCTATCTGCATAGGGTATTAAATTCTTGGAGAGTCTTTCTTCCCCATGCTGATTTTCATGTTACCATTATTTTCATTTCCCCTTGAGCTTTAGCTATTTAGAATTATGATTCATTCTTTTCACCATATACCCTGATCATTAACCAATTAAAACTTTATCAGGCAGAGAAGCAAGAGAGTCTATGGATAATGACGAGGCTGGAAAATTTCTTGTACAACTTGTCGGCTCAAACTGGAAGGAGAGTATCATGCCAAATTATCTTTACGTGCTCATGAATAATGTTCTAACAAAGGTGGATGGAGACATGACCATAAAGCATAGTTCTAATGGAAGGAATAATAGTAATATCCACCTTGGTAACACATGCTAATGTCTCAACAAGATGTTATCTGCTCTTGCTGCTAAATTTGATGCATATTAAGTTAGCAGCCCCTATTGCTATCTACTATTTTACAGAATGAACTAGAAGAGAAAGAATACAGCTTTCAGGATCTGCAAATCCCTCATATGATGATAAAATAATTGCATAGAGAATACCCATTTAACTTAGAGTTTATGACATATTAAGTGGGTGGATTGATCTTAAAAATAAAAGTGAGATAGGCAGGAAGGAATTTGTAGTTTCTACCTGTCTTTATTTATACTGAACTCTGAAATAACTGAGATTTTTGATTTTTCTATTTCCTAAATGCAGAATTTCAGAGTGGAATATAGGCCTTTAATGTGAAAAAACATCTGTATTAAACCAGGAATCATTGTCAGTAACATTTGGACACAGAAATTTGGAGGATTAAATAAGTGTGAAAGTTGATCATGGAGATCAAAGAGGAAGGAGCATCAGAAGAAGGCCAGCACTTTCTTCCCACACCACACGCAAATGATACTGGGGACTTCCAGTTCACAAGTAAGTGTATGTTCCCTTTTCTATAACTCTCTGAAAATGCAAATTAGATCAACTAAACACACATGTGTGTGTAATCACAGAAACCTTGGTTCTAACAAATGACATGAAATTCACTTTTTCTCATTTGCACTATTTATTTTATTATAGTGTGTCTATAATGTGCGTCTCATCTTTTATCTTTTTTTTTAAGATTTTATTTATTTATTTGACACAGAGAGAGAGAGATCACAAGTAGGCAGAGAGGCAGGCAGAGAAGGGGAAGCAGGCTCCCTGCTGAGCAGAGAGCCTGATGCTGGGCTCAATCCCAGGACCCTGAGATCATGACCTGAGCTGAAAGCATAGGCTTAACCCACAGAGCCACCCAGGCACCCCATTATCTTGAGTGAGATAGATGATAGTCTATGAAATGGTTAAATATCAAATAGTAGAACCAAATTCTTGAATGTGTATTAAGGCATTAATAAATACTTTTTTAAAAAATATTTATTTATTTATTTGACAGACAGAGATCACAAGGAGGCAGAGAGGCAGGCAGAGAGAAAGGAGGAAGCAGGCTCCCTGCTGAGCAGAGAGCCCGATGCGGGGCTCGATCCCAGGACTCTGGGATCATGACCGTAGCCGAAGGCAGAGGCTCTAACCCACTGAGCCACCCAGGTGCCCCATTAATAAATACTTTTTAAGTACAACTTGTATTTAGCATTTATATAATCTCATGTGAAATTATTGTTTGGGGGAGGCGGCCAAGTGGCTCAGCTGTTGAAATCTGCCTTCAGTTCAAGTCATGATCCCAGGGTCCTGGAATCAAGCCCCACTTCAGGTCCCCAGCTCAGTGGGAAGCCTGTTTCTCACTTCTCACTCCCCCTGCTTGTGTTCCCTCTCTCACTGTGTCTCTCTCTGTCAAATAAATAAATAAATCTTTTTTTAAAGGAATTATTCTTTTAACATAGAAATGTTCTCTTTAAAATCAAAAGCATGTAGGGGCACCTGGGTGGCTCAGCGGTTTAAAGCCTCTGCCTTCAGCTTGGGTGATGATCCAAGGGTCCTGGGATCCAGCCTGCATCTGGCACTCTGCTCAGCGGGGAGCTTGCTTCCTCCTCTCTCTCTCTGCCTACTTGTGATCTCTGTCTGTCAAATAAATAAATAAAAATCTTAAAAAAAAAAAATCAAAAGCATGTAAGTTAAAAGCACTAGGGCACAACGGTTACCCTAGACATGTAGATTGTCACTGCTATACCTGAAAGCACTAAGTCACATAAATCAAACAAGCAAGGAGATTTCCCAATATTTGCATTTGGGCATTAGAATTGGTTTTTGTCCTACTCAAGTAATTAAAATCATTGGAAAAATTGTGTTTTCTCTCATGCTTAAAATTCTAGAGTTTGTTTTATTTTTTAGTATGAATTGTGTTTTTTTTTCTTTTCAGAAGACTTTAATTTACATTATAAAAATAATCTTTAGAAAACAGTATTGGTTGGAAAAGCTTTCTAAGAAATTTGGTTGTCAAAGCTTACAGCAGTTGTTAATAACTTTAAAAAAAATCACACTACTTGAACAGAAATCGACCTAATGATTGTCACTCTCATCTCTCTTGGAAAGTGTAAAATTTTTAACCATGGTATTATTAAATGTCAACAGGAGAAAAAAATAAATGGTTATCATGCAAAAAAGTGTTAACTCGGGATGCCTGGGTGGCTCAGTTGCTTAAGCATCTGCCTTAGGTTTAGGTCATGATCCTAGAGTTCTGGTATCCAGCCCCACATGGAGGCATGGGGGGGGGGGTTTGATGCTCAGCGGGGAGTCTGCTTCTCTCTCTGCCTGCATCTCTCTCCTGTTTGTTTGTTTGTTTGTTTTTGTTGTTGTCTTTTTAATGATTTTATTTATATCTTTGACGGAGAGAGATAGCCAAGGAGGGAACACAAACAGGGGAGAGTGGGAGAGGGAGAAGCAGGTTCCCCACTGAGCGGGGAGCCCATATGGGACTGAGCCACTAAGACATCCACCTATCCCATTTGTGTGCTTGCTTTCTTTCTTAGTCCCTGACAACTAAATAAAATATTTTTTAAAGTGTTAACCCTGTAAATAAAAAATAGTTTTTATACAAAGAGGTAGTTCTAACAATGTATTAGTAGTACAAAGTTTAAATTGTATTTGGTAAATATACCAGTAGAAATAAATAAGAAAATTATTTTAGTAATGTCCTTACATTTACTACCAAATGATTTACTTTTACATAAATTTTATCTGCTAGTTTGGCCACCCATGAGACATAATAAGAAGTGGCATCCAAGTTCTCATCCACTTTTGTTTAGAAGCCCCTGAGATTTGTGTGGCCATCAGATATCCACATTATCATATTATAGCACATAATCACTTGCCACAGCCTGATCTTGCTACCTTGTAACCACTACATGTTCTCAGCCCTTACTTTTGTTCTCAGACTATCCCTTCACTTCACTCTAAATCATTTAGCCATGTTATTAGATTTCTTAAAAATCAAGAAAAAAGGAATAGAGACATTTAGCAGAACATTGATTTGAGCTATCAGTAAGTTGGCAGAATAACCACCACCATAATGTCTTTCATCACCTTATTAGAGATAGCTCTTTAATTAATAATTTACAATTTACAGCAGGCTGGACTGATTTGAAAGAAAAATCTGTATGAGAGTACTTTTGTGAGGTCATCTTTTTAAAGGCTTTGCCTCTGTCTATATGCATCTAAGAGAAAATAACAATTGAATAATACATTTTAAACTTATCAAAGCTATAAAAAACAATTATTTTTTTCAGTTTCTTTATAGCCAAAGAGCTAAGTAGATCAGTCAAAACTGTCAAAAGCCACATTTAGTTCTGCTACAAATATGTACTCCCTGAAAACAGACTGCTTATAAATTTGGACAATTAACTGAGATAATTCTTTCTGCCAAATAATGTGTTTATACATTCTGGGCAGGGTGAAGCATAGTAAGATGTATTGACATATTTTTGATAATAAGTTAAATACTTTTCATCTGAATTCTTACTCATTATTTATAGGTATTCAGAAGACGCCAAATGAACCACAGTTGGAGTTCATCCTTGGTAAGGAATTCTGTCTTATTTATACTGATAAATAGAATAGTTATATATATATATATATATATATATATAGTTTATAACCTTAGGTGCCTATATCATTATATTACTACTTATATCATTATATAATTTACAAACTTTTATGAACATTGTTCTATAAAAAGCTTTCATTCTTTAAGGTATTACTCTGAGGTGGGTGGCGGGAGGGGTAAAATAATAAAGGAGATTAAGGGTACACTTATGATGAGCACTGAGAAATGTTTTGAGATTATTGGATCATTATATTGCATACCTGCAACTAACACAACACTGTTTTCATTATATGTCAGTTTAAAAAATAATAATAATAATGATAAAGCTGGGGGAGGGGATCATTCTATGTGATGTCACTTCTCCCAACTTGTAAGTAAAGAATCTAAGCTGTGGAGTAGGTCAGTTCACTACCCAAGGGTATAGGGTTCAGTGGTGACAGAGTTGTACCTCTCAATCAGGTCAGCTGACCACAGATCTGGAGCCCAGCGCTCATCCTAATATAGTGACTAGACTTTGCTGCTAACCAACATTTCTCAAAATCCATGTTTATTTCCTCCTTGAACTGGAGACTGAGCTCATGTAGTGCTCCTTTATGCCATATACAAGGTTCCTGCCTTTTTTTTTCAATGTCACATATTGAAAAATTTCCTTTCTCTTCCACCTTGATTTTGTGGACAGATCCTTAATATTTGCGAATATCACTATAATTCAAAACTTTGATTTGCTTAAGCAACTTTAAAGATCTGTCACATGTAGAAATTTGTAACTTGGTCCAAGGAAGAGTTAAAAATGTTCACTCTGTGGCTGATCCACTGCTTAGCTAGTTAGTGGGACCTGCTTTGTGTCTGAATTTGCATGACTGCAAAATGTCATTCGGGAATTAGCTGCAAAATGGTATTTGAAGAGGGTAAAAACGTGGTTCATATAAACCATTTAGAGAGGGTTTTTTCCTTTTTATAATTCTAAAATGTTTTGAAAACAATGAGGTTTTATAGAGTAATAATACAGGTATTCAATTTCCTATACAGAAACCAGATATCTAAATCTTTAAATATTAATATACATGTTTTCTGAAGTTATGGGAGAATTGAAATACGTACATTTACTATCTATAGTAGTTTTTAGTGGTTTGAAGTCTCAATTATTCTGAATATATATTTTCATTATATGATGAAATAGGTTTCAAATTTATACCCTTTGCTCAAAATATTTTATATATATATTATATAATATATATTATATTTTGAAGTATATTTTGAAGTATAACTTTTTTGAGATAATAACTATATATAATAGGTTCACAGCACAATTGAACAGAAAGTACAGAGATTTTCCGTATGCCCTCTAGCCCCATAAATGCATAGCTTCCCCTATCAGAGTGGTACATTTGTTACAGTTAAAGAACTTATATTGACACATCATTATTATTCTAAGTCCATAGTTTACATTTGGGTTCATTCTTGTTGTTATTCATCCTACAGATTTGGATAATGTATGATGGCATATATCTACTACTAAAATATCATACAGACTATCTTCATTGTCCTAAAAATCCTGTGTGCTCAGACTGTCCATCCCTCTCTCCCCTAACCTTTGGCAACTACTGATATTTTTTAATTGTCTGTCTAGTTTTGTCTTTTCCAGAATGTCATATTGTTGGAATCATACAGTATGTAACCCTTTCAGATTGGCTTCTTTCACTTAGTAATGTGCATTTAAGTTTCCTCTATGTCTTTTCATGGCTTGATAGTTCATTAGAATATTCCAGTGGTTGGATGTAGCATAGTTTATTTGTCTACTCACTAAGGGATCCCTAATAAGGGATATCTTAGTTACTTCCAAATTTTGGTAATTATGAATAAAGCTGTGTGCAAGTTTTTGTGTAGACATAGTTTTCAACATCCTAAGATAAACACCAGGGAACACATTGTTATGTGATAAGAATATGCTTAGTTTTGCAAGAAATTTCCAAACTGTCTTGCAAAGTGCCTGTACCATTATGCATTCCCACCAGCAATGCATGAGCGTTTCTGTTACTCCACATCTTCACCAACACTTAGTGTTGTCAGCGTTCTAGACTTTGGCATAATTCATTTAAAAAATTTTTGTTACAAATGTAGCTAATGTGCTGTAAGTTAAGGAATCTGGATTTTTTTGTTTTCCCAGGTATTAAGAAACAAATGTGAAAACTCAGGAAATTTCTGTGGTAACACCTAAACAGTTATATGTATTTTTTTCTAGAGAGTTCTCAGATGGTGTCAGATTTAGAAATAACTTGTTTCAGAAAGGGAGCTGAGTAGCAAAAGCAGCCTAGGTACCTCTTGACTCAATATAACTTGCTCCTTGAGACTTTATCTATTTACCTTTCATTTTTAAGGGAGGAAATTCTTCTTTACTTTTTTAGTAGGATTTCAAGGAGTAAAGATTTGTTAGAGTAACTTAGTGTATTTCAAAACACAGATAAAACCTTCTTATTTACACCCTGGAGAACAAGGTGAAACCTGAAGGCGGCAAAGACAATTGGTGGAGAGGTTGTTAGTCAAACATGGAGACCAGCTTTCAAGAGACAGGGAGCCTAGGCCAAATGCATATTCTTTTTCAAATGAAGTTATCTGTCTTGTTCAAAGACCTAGCTATATTTTTTTGTTTTGTTTTGAAAGCCCAGTCAAATTCAATGACAATGTTGTCGTCACTTATATTTCTGGCTTTAAATCAAAGACTTAAGAGAGGAGCAACTGTGAGAATTTGTTCATAATAATATTCCTCTCATAAAAAAACTTCAATTTTCTTTTATCATATTTATTCAAAAAAGCCACTAGAATTCTTAACAAAGATAATTTTATCTTATCATGTGGAAAAAAAAATGCCTTATAAGTAAACAAAGTTATTTAGAGTCTTCAGGAAATTGTGTTGTTGATCCTGGATGATGAATTTCCCTAAACTGTTTCTTATGCTTCTAGCATTTTAAATTCCTCAATCGTAGTATTTCTTAAATTAAAAAAAAAAAAAAAGACTTTAAAAAACTACTCTACATTAAAATTAAACTCATGTACGTTTTACTGTATTTTTTGGTACATTTTTCTTTGAGTTTTTTAATCCCACATATTCTTTATGACTCACCAACTAGTTAACTTCATAATAATGAGAGAATAATAGTTTCTTAAGTATTTTTGTCATTATTTAAAAATGCATATGCATTTAATTAAAAAAAGACATCTTAATAAAAAAAATTTTAGAGAATTAAAGTCAGAGGCTTTTGTTCCACCTAATCTTTCAACTAAATTATTGATATTTGAGTCTTGATTCTTGCCAAAATATTTAAATAAATTGAGAATTTCAATGATTTTGCTTTTAAATTGGGAAAACAGCTACACTAATTTTCCTAGGTGTCATATTGCTTTCTATGTTATTTTCCATTGAGGATTTGTTTCTGCCTCGTCTGTATGCCATTATAAAATCGCTGTATCTTGCTGAAGTTCCTCTGCTACATCTTTATTCAAGTAAATGAGGTAGGAGATACTTAGTCAATTGAGCAAGCTAATTGGTTAAAAATGTCTTGAGAACACAAGTTCGGCATTTACTGAAAAAGTGAGTATTTCAGGTCTATTGCCATTACATTTCTAGTGGTTTACTGATTTAAATTATGTAACTCACCCTTACATCTGCAACCTTACTTCCACATTTTTCTCATTCTTTCATTTAAATACATTGATACCTTTTTTATGTCCACAAAGAGGGAAATAATTAAAAACTCAAGAGAACACAGATTTTCTTACAGTTTAATAAAATTGTTTTTTTTATTTTAACAAAGTAAACATTTGAATAGAGGGATCCTGGGGTGCCTGGGCAGCTCACTGGATTAAGCACCCAATTCTTCATTTCAGCTTAGGTCAAGAACTCAGGGTCATGGGATGGAGCCCTACCTCAGGCTCTCTGCTCAGCAGGCTAGTCTGCTTGTCTCTTTCTCTGCCCTTCCCTCTCCCTCCCCCTGCTTGCATATGCTCTCTCTCTCTCTCTCTCTCTCCAAGAAAGAAAGAAAGAGAGAGACAAAGAAAGAAGGAGAGAAAGACAGGAAGGAAGGAAGGAAGGAAGGAAGGAAGGAAGGAAGGAAGAAAAGAGAGATCACTTCTTAAAATCTGGGTACATTTCTTTTGAAACCACTGTGGAAAATATATAGAGAAGACAAATCTTAACAAAGATATAAAAGAACTATTATCTATTTCTTAGGTTTATCTTCCCAGTTATACTTATAAATGATGCTTTCATACATCATTATGCTTTTATACATCTTCATTTACTGGCTCCAAAGTCAATAGAATACTTATGCATATGTTTTCATATTTTTATGTGGATACTACATATTATAAATCCAAAACAGTAGCTACTAATGTATGTTAAAATAGAAGAGATGGCTTGTGTGTGTGTGTGTGTGTGTGTGTGTGTGTGTGAGTGTGGTGAATGTGTTCTTTGTGTTCTTTATTTGACACTATGAAGTTATATTCTTAAAATAATTTATACCTTGATGACTGATACCTAATGGAAGCCAATGACTAGATATAGGGTGCATTGAAAGACACATTGTAGACATCAGCAGCCTCAGTGTCAATTATGATAGGAATGAAAAGGCATGGATGCTGGAGTGAAATCTCTAACAATACAAATCATTCATTCATACATATTGCATTGAGAGCATAGAAAACTTGTAAGTAAATAATTTCAAGCAGTGTTAAGTTCTATGTAGATAGTAAACAGAACAACTCTATAGAACATGTTTGGGGGAGATGTAATTGACTTGGGAGATGTAGGGACTATTTTATTTTATTTTTTTATATTAACTTATAATGTATTATTTTCCCCAGGGGTACAGGTCTGAATCATCAGGCTGACACAATTCATAGCACTTGCTATAGCAACATACCCTCCCCAATGTCCATAACCCAACCACCCTCTCCCTACTCCCCTATCCCCAGCAA